CCCAAACATCCCCCACAAAAACCCCAAACCCACGGGCCCCCGCGGTATTTGGGGCGAGCTCCCCCTCCCCGGGCACCTGCGGGATGGGGGGCGATGGTCCCGGGGGGCTGCGAGCTCAGGGAGCGCCGGAGCCGCTCGGGTCCTCCTCTGCTCTTCTCCTCCTCCTTCCTGCTGCCGCTGCGCCTCTTCCTCCCCCCTCCTCCTCCTCCTCCTCATCCTCCCCTTCCTCCTCCTGCCCCGTTCCCGAATCCCGAACTGGGAGCGCGGATCAAGGAAAGGGCGGGAACTGTGAGGGGAAGGGGGCGGGGCCAAAGGGACGCGCGGCTCTCAGGGGACCCGCTTTGGCCTCAAATCACCCAAAAGGGCCTCAAATGCAGCCTAAATACACCGGCTTTGGCCGAAAATCAGCCAGAGGGGCCAAAACCCATAGAAAGCGTTCTAAAGTCATACACATTTGCATACAATTGTCCGAAGTGGCCGAAAATACAATCTCAAACCGATGAGGGTCTGCCTAAAATGGCCCAAAGAAGCCTGATCTGAGGTTTCCTTGCCTTGTACCTAGGAAATTCTTTTAAACTTAAGACTTGTTAGCATAGCTAAAAAGTATTTACTATATAATATTCATCTGCGAAAGCCAATGTCACAATACAAATTTATAACAGGGTCTAACGTCCAACCAAAAGGGCCTAAAAATGACCAAACTGCTGTAAAACCCACAAAAAATGGCCTCAAATCACCCTTGAATCTCCCAAGTGGGCGTAATATCCACCCTGAAAGTCGCTGGTTTTGCCTAAAATCACCCAAAGGGCCCCAACATCACCCAAACTGGCCTGAAATGCACACAAAGGGACTTCAAATCACCCGAAAAGGGCTCAGTTCGAGCGGCACCGGGACTGGGAGTGAGACCGAGATCGAGCCTGAGACCGAGACCAGGCCTGAGACTGGGACTGAATCCGGCACCGAGACCGGCAGTTCGAGCGGCACCGGGACTGGGAGTGAGACCGAGATCGAGCCTGAGACCGAGACCAGGCCTGAGACTGGGACTGAATCCGGCACCGAGACCGGCACCGCTCTGGGACCGGGACTGAGACCGAGACCGGCACCGCTCTGGGACCGGGACTGAGACCGAGACCGGCACCGCTCCGGGACCGGGACTGAGACCGAGACCGGCACCGAGACCGGGACCGGCACCGCTGCGCCATTGAGATCGACACCGGGACCGGAATCGGCTCCGGGAGTGCCCCGGGACTGCTCCGAGACTGAGACCTAGGCCAGCACAGGGACTGGGATCAACACCAGGAGTGCTCTGAGACCGAGACTGAGACCAGAACCGGGACCGGCACCGGGATTGCGCCAGGACCAGCACCGGGATTGCTCCAGGACCAGCACTGGGACCGCTCCAGGATCAGCACCGGGATCACTCCAGGACCAGCACCGGGATCGCTCCAGGACCAGCACCGGGATCGCTCTGGGACCTCCGCGTTCACTCCTGGGAGTTTTGGCCATGCCTCCCGGTAAAACTGTGTGAGACTTCGAGGGACTGCGAGGGATCCCTGTGTTAAGAATAATATGTTACAGTTGCTGTTTGTAAACTCCTTACTTACCTTGTACCCCTGTCCCAGGTTTACTTACCTTGTACCCCTGCCGCAAAT